CTAAAAAAATTATTTAAAAAAACAGTAAGATTTTTTTTTTAAATAACTTCTTAATGATTTTTAATAGGTCATCTGCAATTCATTCAAATTTTGAGGACAACCACTGTTTAGCATAATTAGGTTTTGTTTGGGAAGACTTTCTTACTGTTTTTTAAAATAGTTTTATAATATAATTTTTTTAAGAATTAAATTTTTATTATTAAAATACTATTTTAGAAAGCACTAAAAAAGTTATCTCAAACGAAATCTTAATATTACAACTTGAGCTGTTTGCAAGAAATAAAATCTATAAAATATATCATACCATACTCGTTGCAACCAGCATGATCATATGAACTATATTAAAAATTTTGAGTTTATACAAAACAAATGATGCCATAAAATAAAATTTAAGATCAACGTCCAAATTTTTTTTGAAAATAAATGAGATCCAACAAAAACAGAAGTTATATATCAAAATATTCATAATGAATATATTTTTAACATATTAAAAGTTACACGATAAAAATTTCTAAAATAGAAAATAATATATATTTATTATATTTTAGAGAGAGAAAACATATAAATCAAAATAACTAAAAACAGAAGTCGGTTTAAGCTCATCTATCATGAGATGAAATATTTTCACAATTGTCATGATGGAGAAAAATGATCTAAGATGTTTATTATATTTTAGAGAGAGAAAACATATAAATCAAAATAACTAAAAACAGAAGTCGGTTTAAGCTCATCTATCATGAGATGAAATATTTTCACAATTGTCATGATGGAGAAAAATGATCTAAGATGAACTTTTTTTCTCTCTCTCATCGTCTTTCTCCCCTTCTCTCCCTATCTTCTCCTCAACCAAATCGATCAAATGAGGGGGGATTTGGGATGATGATTAGATTTATAAAATGGATTTGGATTTTTTATTGAAAAAATATTTTTATCGTGTCAGTGCCCATCTATACCTACCCAATACCGCAACACTCTCCAATAGAGAGTTCAACATCCCTCCTACATAGCCTTCCAGCGACATTGTACCACTCAATCTAGAAGCCACAATACATAGAGGGTAGCGACGCTACACACACTAACACAGCGTCATTGCGCTTCCAACAACAACAAAAATTTTATTCATGCAAGAAATCATATCATATTCTTATTTGGGTGTTAACAAATCATTCATCAAATGAAAATGGGGTCATACATCTCTAATCTTAATAGGCCAACACTCCTTCCATTTACATCTTCTTAGTTTATAAGCAATTGAATTTTAACCTTAGTCACACACAAAGTTCTAGCTAAATTACTATGAGTGTATAACTTATAATTTCTTCCCACGAGTGTAAACAAGTTGAGTCTTGTGTCTTCCCTAATTGAAATAATTAAGCTTGCTAGCTCTTACTAAGTTTGAGCTCAAATTCGAGCTCATTTACTAAGTCCGAGATCGGGCTTGGTTCTTTAAAAAAATTGTAGACTCTAGCTCAACTTGATTGCTCTAGTTCTAATCGACTGCTCGAGCCCATTTAGAAAGCTCGATGTTGACTCAATTGTTAAGCTCAAATTCTTAGTTTTTATTTGAAAAAATTAATATTTTTACAATTATTTTTTTAAAATATAAAATTAATTTAAAAATATTTAAATATATTATATAATACTAATTTAAATAAATTATTAAATATATTTTAATTTAATTAGGTGGCTCAACGGGCTCAGCATGAGCTCGAGCTTTTAATATACAAGTTCGTAAAGGCTCGAGCTCGAACTCGTGGTTCAATAAACTCGAGTTGTCACCTCATTAACAAGTCGAGCTCGAGCCGGCTCGGCTCAATTACACCCCTATTTCTTCCTTTCCATATAATGTAAACAAAAATCAAAATAATATGGAGTTATAATCTTCTACTCACCATATGATTATGCATATAATTAATTTTCAATACCTAAAATAACAAAGTTTTTAAGGGAGAGTTCTTTTTTCCATCCATTGAAATATCAATCCAAACCATCAAACACAAAAACAAAACAAAACAATAGCATTAATTCTTCCACCTGTATATTTCATAGGAAAATGACTTATTTAAACACCACAACTAAATAAAATTTTTGTCAAGAGAATGAATGACAGTATCATTGTCATATGCATTTATTACGTGCGATATGAAAAGCTAAAGAAATAGAGGACTTTCATAAGTCGTTCTTTGTCCTCCAACAAGAACCTCTACTCTGCATGCAGCTCAGATTTCGTCTGATAAAAATCACAATAAATGATAAACCACCAAAAGCAAAACAGCACGCAAGTCATCTCTACAGCCGGTTTTGAGTCCATCGTTACAATGGAATCCGCATTCATGGATATCGGAGGAATACGGGAAGCCATTGCTTTGGCCTTTAGAGGGATCGGAGGCGGCACCCAAGTCGAGAGGCGTGCGTGGACTCCGGTGGCTACAATTCGCGGCCACCGCCGTCGAGGGCGAAGGACCCTCTACTTGCTTCCGCTTCAACTTTAGAACAGAAAAAAAAGAGATGTTTAGGCATTATGCCATTTACGAGGCAACCACGCAAAAGAGTGGATCCAATGAAAATTAAATAAAATAAAAAAAGTTTGAGAGAGCCAAAGGGCGAATTATTAGATCCGGTCACGGAATCTAAATTTGAGTCCGAAACCAGCGCGCTTTTACTATACTTTTGATATTTTTGTAAAAGAGCAGCTAATACATATTTTTTATTACATATTAGCTATTTTTTGTTGAGAATTTGCAAAAATAAAACAAAAAACACAACAAAAACTTAACAAATATCTCACTCATTGTGTATTTGATGCACTTTTACTGTGTTTTTTAAATACTCAGCAAAATGACAGCTAATATGCACAGTAAAAGCACATATTAGCTGTCATTCTACAAAAGTATAAAAAACGCATTAAAAGCGCATGAAAAGTGCAGAATTCCGGAAGCAGATTCAGGTCCGGTGAGCAGACTTAATAATTCGAAGAGCGAAAGGGGGGTGGAAATAGAGATTTGAGGGCGAATTATTACGCCTGATCACCTGACGTTCGGACATCCAATCTAGACTCATCACATCACCCAAATAGATCAGTACCCGCTGCATTTTTGTGACGTGACGTGTATATTGACACCGGACATAATAATTTGCCAGATTTGAGACCTTTATGTGTCCGTCACATCCTGGAACGGAGGTCTCGCCGGTGCGTAAGCGCTTGAAGGGTCGGATTTCGGAGGAACACATGAAGCCATCGCTTTCGCTGGAAGAGGGAATGGAGGCGGCAACCATAGGCGTGCCCGGACTCCGGTGGCCACAAGTCGCAGCCACCGCCGTCGAGGTCGAAGGACCCTCTACTTTCTTCCTCTTCAACTTTGAACCAGAAAAAAAAAAAAAAAGAGAAGCTTATGCATTATTTAAGCCATTTACGAAGCAACCACGCAAGAGAGGAGATGAAATGAAAATTAGATAAAGCAAAAGGTTAGAGAGAGAGAAGGGGCCTGGAAATAGAGAATTGAGACCTTTAAGCGTGCGTCATATTCTGGAACAGAGGTCTCGCTGGCGCGTAAGCGCTTGAAGGGACGGATCTCAGAGGAACACGGGAAGCCATCGCTTCCGCTGCTAGAGGCAGCGGAGTCAGCACCCAAGTCCAGAGGCCAAACCGGTCCGGATGAGTAGGATCGGGAGCTTCGAATCCGGCCCGGTTCAAATCCGCTGATTTGGTTCGATCTCATATTAAGCCGCCTATGAATCCGGACTACAGAACGACTTTCTTAGAATAAAGCTACATTTTCCAAATATAATCCAAAAAATAAATGAAAATTTTATCTAATTTTTAAAATTAAAAAATAGATAAAATTAAACTTATAGATTCATATCTGATGAACTTTATTTGAAAAGATTAATTTTAAGGGGCAAATGAAAGTAACAAAATAATAAATTTTATAAAATAAAATAATTCATTTAATGGGGAAATAGATGATAATATTATTAGTATAATTCAAATTGAATGATTGAAGTAGAGAAATGCATTGGACTTATTGTGTGATAGAAAGTCCCCTCTCAAACTTAAGAGAAAATTTTATAAAAGGTAGTGAGATCTGAAATGCTTTATGGTGCAACATGTTAGTCATTAAAATAGAAGCATAATATTAAGTTAAGTGTTATAGCGATGAGGATGCTCAGGTGGATGAGTGGCTTTACTCTTAGAGACATAATACGAAATGAGCATATATGTGAAAGGTTGCAATAGCTCCAGTGGAAGGTAAGATCATAGAGAGCTGCCTTAGATGATTTGGACACATAAAACAAGGGCCTTTCGATGACCTAATTAGGAAAGTAGATGTATTAGATTTGACTTATGTTAAGAAACGTAGAGGTCGACCTAAAAAGACTTGGTTAAAAAATATTAGAAATGACATTTCATTATTAGATTTAGATGAGGATTTGATTCTTAACTAAACACAATTGAAAAAAAAAAGATTCATGTAGCCAACCCCATATACTAAGATAAAGGTTTATTGTTATTGTTGTTGTTTGAATGTAATAAGTCAAAAAATAATTCAGCCACATTAAAGATATATTTTTTTAATAATTGATTAAGGGAGATGGCTTTTTTACAGCATCAGCTTTCTATAATAAATATTGGAAATGTTATTTGTTGGTTTTGTAAGTTTTTAAATATTGAACAATTCCGAAGTATTGGAGATGATCTTGAATGAAGAAAGCAATTCAGAAGTTTTGGTAATGTTCTTTGTGATTCTTGTGTGAAGCCGTTTGAGATTCTAACTAATTGATCGAAAATTTTTTAAGATGTTGGAAGATTGATTTGTTGGTGCTTAGTTGTTAAAGTTCTTCTTTTTGTTCTTATCTCTTTTTAAGAGATATTTAGTTTGTTTGTCTTTTTATGAGACTTCATCTTTGATTTTTTTTCTTTTTAGGAATTTTTATTTTTCTTTTTCTTTTGGAGTTTCTATAAATATTTTCTAATTTTTCTTACAAAATTATTATAATTTTCTTATAATACATCCATTTTTAATAAAATTGGGCATGAGATCCTAAATTGTGCTGCAATCCCACTGCGGCAGCTATCACTTCAATGGAAGTCACTACTTCTTCGGAAGCCCAACGCGGCGATTAATCTCGAGCTCAGCGTGCACCAGAGAAAAGCACGCGGCTTTACCTCCTCCTCCTCCTTTTTCTGTAAGTCTCCGTCGTTGATTAGGGATGCTAATACTTTCCCTTTCAATCCAGAGAACTGTGTTTGTGACAGCTGCAACTTTACGAAAGGTGGTTATATTTCATTTTCTCTTATGTAGATATTCTAGAATCTTGATTCTTTTCTAGCGGGCTTCTTGATTTTGGCACTGAAGCTGAAATTACTTTGTTTTGTGGTGACTTGTAGTGTTAATTAAGTTGGTGGTTTTATGGTTCTTGCCCCACCTGGTTCAATGAATTTTTCTGTCATATGTTAATCCTTGTGGATATCTTTAGAGGAAGTACACCTTTGTTAATTTTCTAGAGAATGTGAACAAGCCTTTTGCTAAAAAATCTACTTTTGTTGATCGCACTTGTCAAAGAAACTGCCAATGCTAGATTTTTGCTCTAGGATTGCATTGACATGCTCTTCCATTATCAAGAAAGATGACCAAATTATGTAGGCCGGACTAATTTCACATAAAGAGTGAGAGAAGATTAGATCCTATATAGAGATTACATGAAAACTAATTCTGTATAAACCAATTAATCAGAACAAAGGAATACCAACGCATGAAGCTAGCCAACATCTTACATCTGTTATTTTACAAGGAGAGAAGGAGATGTGGATTCTTGTTCAGGCAGGTTTTTAGCTCAAGATGTGAACGCACCTTTATCATCCAATTACATATTGCAACGACATATTCTTACTGATTTATCCTTTCCCTAGAGCTCAGATGTTTCATCATCTTGATTATTAATATCATTGCCTTGTTCCAATGATGTGGTTCACAACAGGTTTTTTCTGGGTGCATTTTTCTGATATAGAAAAGTTGCTTCTGTAATTTGACTTGAGTTTATTGATTTAGTCAGGTATTCGAGAATGGTGAAGATGGAGTATTATTGCATTCTTCCTAAGAGCTCGCTTCCATTTAGTTTATGGTCAGAACCGCGAAGTTCAAGGTTTCAAAATGATTTGCCTCCCAACCTTCCACAAAATTGTAAATGTACTGGCATAATATATTCCATGACCTCTAGAGCCCGCTGGTGTTCACCTATGACATCCTTTACAGCATCCAATAGTTTGAATCACGGGGCTTCATCATGGTCAGAAGATCACTTGAGCAATGGCAATATTGTTTCAGAAGGTGCATCTGAAAAAGATCTTCCGCAGAAGTTGGGGACTGATGAGGTAATAATGAACCTTCTCCATTCATTCATGCTTATGCATGGCTGTGCTAGTAACTTGATATTCATAAATTCGTTCGTTAATACCTAGAATTTCCTTTTTTTTACTTTAATAATTAATGGAAAAATTGTCATGTATTAGTCCAATTGAGAATTTTATCTGCAAAATGAATTTGTCAGCATCATGATGAAACTTGAAATAAAAATCTCACACAGAATGGTAACAACTTTAAAGCAGATTTTCCATCTGAGCTCATTGTCTCTCATTTGTTGTGCTGGAAGTTGATGGTAAATTTGTTGAGTACCAAGAATGTATTCTAGTTTAGGTTCATCTGAAACTTCCAACCGAGAGAATTCTCAGCATGCAACTAGGCAAATCTTGATTAGTTCGTCATTCCCAGCAAAATTAAGACATTGAATGTAATTTTTTTTAAAAATTGTAAGTAAATTCAAACTGGCATACAAATCAGTGCCTCTTAAAACTTCATAAGGACAGCCTATGTGTTACCAGCAAGGTTTTGTGGTAAGGCATGTGTAGAGCTAGGGGTGAAAAGTGACTGGATATTGCCATTTACATATCCAAATCCAGTTCTAAAAAAAAATTAAAAAAAATAAAAAAATAAAAAAATATCCAAATCCAGTTCTATAGGATAATTACAAGTAGGATAGTGGTGAAACGAACTTTATTGCAATAAAGGTACAAAATTTATGAACTTTTTGGTTGCAACATCAGTGCAACTATTGTAAAGAAAGATAATCCATATCCATATCCGCTTGAGTAGGGATATTTAGATCCTGTTCAAAAGTTCAGAGCAGGATAATCACATAAATTCCAACCATTTTGTAGACCTAGGTTGAGAGTTGCTGCAGGTTGAGAAAGCTAAATTAAACCTTATCCATTTCACACTGTCTTTGCACCTTTTTTAACCAACAGGTGACATGTTTTGTGTTTTACAGTTAAAATCCCTGCTGCTTGACTCAGAAAGAAGTAAGCTTTTAAAGAAACTTAGTGAAGCAAATCAATACAACAGATTCCTTAAACGACAGGTTTGAAATTGTATTGTGGTTATTGATAACATTACCTATTACTAGTATTAAGTTTATATTTTAAATGCAGAGCACAGTAAGTACTAATGCTGTTATGCTTTTTGTATGCCATAAAGCTAACTGAACAAATACTTGGCAGTTGCAGATAAAGGATGATGTTCTAGTCAGCCTAAACAATGAAGTTGCTCTATTGGAACTTGAATCTCAGGTTGGTATTCTGTATGGTGTATTTCTAGCTTATTAATATGAATGAAAGTTCCAGGATGAATGGAATCAACAGTGCTAAAAATTTGATCATGTTATCATGTCTAACCCATTTGCATGACTGAAATGTAGTGACATAAAGAATAAATGGATTCGTGAGATTAATCATACATCCATATGAAAGAATTTTGGTCATCTTAGAGTCTAAGGTTCCTAATGTACATCTAATATGTGATGCAGATGTAGATGCAACCAAAGGAGGAAATAAATTTGCAATTTTCTTCAACAACTTAAATAAAATTAATTTCACTAACCTTACTAAAAAGCCTCTCTCCCACTAACATATTAATTCTTCCTCTTGCTGATAAGAAAGGCTTCGTTCACCCCGTGCTGTTACATTGGAGTATATAGCACAACATAGTAAAATTTTTATTTTTTAACAGATTTCCCTCAATTATTTTATCGTAGATCCTAAAAAGGTGCAATTATGTAAAGCAATGTCCGCCATATGGCTAAAACAATGAAAATGATTAGGTATTTTTTATTCTTTTTTTTTTAATTTTTTAAAAATAACTTTCTCTCTCCTGATTAGGTTATAAAATAGATTCCAATTTAAAAATTGGCCGTTGTTTATTACAGAATAATTGTACCCTCTTGTATTTGAGGTGTTATACTTAAATTTTATAAAGGCTTTTAAATATATGTAGGATTTTCAATCCTACATTTGATATTTAGTTATTTGCTATGCTATCTCCATAGTTTTCTTTTAATGTGCATAATGAAATATCAAATTATGTAGGTAGTTTTGCTTGTTTTATTTTTGCATTAATCTTTGTGCATTGAATTAATTCCTGTAGTTATAAGACTTATTTTTGATACTCCTTATATTTGTTGAAGATACTAGATTTTATTTCTGCAAATATGATCCGGTTAGGAGAGTAGAGGTATTAGATTTGACTTGTGTTAAGAAAGGTAGGGGTAGACCTAAAAATACTTGGTTAGAAAATATTAGGAATGACCTTTCTTTATTAGATTTAAACGAGAATTTGACTTTTAATAGGACACAATGGAGAAAAAGGATTCATGTAGCCGACCCCACGTAGTGGGATAAAGGCTTGATGTTGTTGTTGTTGTTGTAGTTAATAAAAAAACTAATTAATAAGTAATCAAATAATGGTTAAATCATTTTCTTCTTAACATTTCAATAGCCTTTCCACTCAAAGCCACATGCATTGGAGAATGGCAGTGAATGGGAATCCTCCAGCCATCCTCCGGCTGAGATATTTTTAGTAGAAGTAGGAATTATAATATTATAACTATAATGGAGTGCTTAGATAATGGAATGACTTAAGCCATTTATTCCTCATTACCTAATTCCCTGGCCTTAGAGTTTAAAGCATGCCGAGAGTTTGAAGCCTGTTGTGAGCTATCCAAAGAAAGGGAGCTGCAAGCTATGGCTAAGTGCTGGTCTTTTGGCTGCTGGGGAGAAAGTAGTAAGATGAGAAATTTAGGAGTATGTTAGAAAATTTAATTAAAGACTGTAGTATTATAGAAATTAGCATTTCTTAAATTAATATTTTATAAAATTTTCATTGTTAAGAATTACCAAGTGCTCTATTCTGAAGCGCTGAAATTAAATTACTAAATGCTAGTTGTTAAATTCAGATTTCAGAATTCAATTTTGGTTGACTAAAATCGGTAAAAAAAAAGGGGAAGGAATGTTGAAATTAGTAGATAATTAAGAAAGGGGGAAAGAGAGCTAAGTGGAGGAGTAGGTTGAATGAGGAGAAGCTTGGTAGAGGTGGTTTACAAGCAAAAAATAAATTAGGAACTAGGAGAACCAATTCCTAGTAAGGTGATATATCCAAACGATACATAGGAAATAGCAAATTTTTTATATATTTGTAAATTCATATTTGTTATATTATGATATTATTTATTTCAGTTTATTCCAATTTATTATTAATTAATTAAGTAGTAACGACTACATTGACACATTGCATGATTATGAAGAGTAAATGATAAAAAAAAAGTCATATATTGGGGGATAGGCATGCACAAGTAAATGTGAAAGACCTGACGTAGTAAGCCTACATTCTCGAAATTCTAAAAGTTGGGAATTCGAATCAAACCTTGAATGAGATAGTAGCTTCAATTCTAAAAGTTGGAATTTGGACCTAACCTTGAATTAGAAAGCTAGAGGGTGAAAAAGCCTATAACCATCATATAACTTGTATAAAGGTATTGAACATGAAACAATAAAGAAAGTGATGTTATGCATTTCTTATAATCAAAATAAAACTTACATATGTTTTTAAACTAATTGTAAAAAAAGTTATTATTATTTCTTATACATTGTTTGTATATTTCATTAAGACCTAACTCATTAATAGTGGTTGTACTGCAAGTTAGGGGAAAGAACTAGTGGGGCATTATGCAGGATAGTTTGGGGCATTATGCATGATAGTTGATTATTCTTTTTGTGTATATAATTTTGGGTGTACAAAGAGATATTAGTATGAGTTGTACAAATACTTTTAGATATTTAAGTAAATTTTTAAAAGTTTTGATAAAGCTCTGTATTTCATTTGAGATTTATATTTACCTGAGATATACATGTTTTCTGTTGTTATGTAAAAAAACTTGATATGTTAAGATATTCTAAATAGTCCACTTCTTACTCCCTAATTCTGGTAGAGGTTGTTCAGATTGAGTGTTAGTAAGAAGGAAGTCTATTCAGATTTTTCTTCTCTGTTACGCTCTAGATTGATTATAGGGGTCAAAATGGGGTGTGACACCATCACCATAGTAGCAAGTTATTCAACGACGAGATTTCATTTAGTATTTTGGAGTTTCCGTAGTAGTTTTATTTATATTTCTATTGAATTTGGGTAGATTTGTTCGTGTAATTGTTGCTTTTATTTTTTTTTTCCATTACTGAGTTATTTTTTTATTGATATATTGTTATTGTGAACTCTATTTATGAAGTGAAATAGTAACTACTTTACTCTGCTTACTTTTATTATTTACATTACTTGTATATGGATCCTTTTCCTCTTGTGTGTGCAAAATAGTTTTGAATCAATATTGAACTTTGTTGTTTACTTCAAGGGTTGAGGTTAATCACTTCATCTCGTCTTGTGTTATTATGGTGTATTGACTTCCGGACCTAGGGTATGATAGAGTGGTATTGGAGCAATACATCAGTTGTAAGATTGGAATTAAGTGACCATGAAGGATAAAGTGCTATATCATGAGAGCCACTTCTTGAATCCTTATTAGAACAAAGTGCTACATGTCAAAAGTCATCTCTTGAGCATGTAAGTGCCACCTTTAAAATTTATCTGCTTGGCGGATAATTCTAGATTATATAAGAATATAAATGAGGACATTAGCTAGTTAAGTTTGGGAGATTGTAAAGCTTCTTATAAAAAATAAAGCTAAATTCTTAAACATCAATGTACCTTTTTTTGTAATAGTTTGAGTTTCTTTAAATACTCTTAAGTTAAGCATGCTTGTAGGGGAGCATTCTTAGGATGACTGATCTAATGGGAAATTACATCGAAGGATAAAATCATAAGACTTTTAGACTAAAGTGAGCCATATTTCAATGATTAAGAATTTGGGTTGTTACAATTATAAATTCAAATTCAAAATTTAAATTATCATATCAAACAATATGCTCCTAATATACGGGCACTTTTCCTTGGTGAATATGGTCCAAGAGGACGATAATGACCAGAAATTAGGTACATCGTTGTATAAAGTTTTTTATCTGTGGAACTGCCAGATTCCTAGGTTGCTATCGCTGTAATCAATTAAGAAGTTCATTTATTACCAAAAAAAATCCATTTGGTGCAGCATCATAAAGTGTAGGGAGGTAAAATTGATGTAAGAGGGATTGGAAGATATGGAGTTGGTTAAAAATAATTTCTTTAGGATTTATTCAAATGATTTATATGAACTCAGAATAACACTAGGTACAGCACTTTACAAGAACTAATGTTGAAAGCAATCCTTCATTTTTAGCATATAGGGCTAGGATTTTCAGATTTTATTAAACTAGGTCTAGTACTCTGTCGAGTATCATCAAAATCTTCAGCTGCTATTGCTTACCATTAATGTGGCACTCATTAAAATCTTCGATGAATGCTTGGAGATGCTCTTCGTCAGGCACTCCTTTGGAATCATGTCACTTGAAGTGAGACTTGCTTTTATATATATTTCATTTTTAATTATATTTTAAGGAGGTGCTAGGGTGGGGGTGGAGGGATTGGCTTCCAGATATATCAATCCAAATATTATTTCACTTAATCTGATCAATATTTGATTCTATTTCCCTTTCCCTCTCAGTTGACTTATCTATGAACAACAGCCTCAGCTGAAATCCGGCAATAACAAATACCAAAGCATCAATGGCACTTTTGTTAACCTTGAATAAGTTGAACCTGTGTACTCTTCAGGAATAAATTGAACCAGTGCGATAAGCTACCACATCTATGTTACTATTCCTTCTGGAAAATCTTTGTCATGTGTAGAGCAATTTCCATATGTAGTATCTATACATAGGACATAACAGCATTATTAATTGGACAATTTTTTTGCAACATGGACAGGCTTTGGTCAATCTAGCAGAAGAGGTAGCTAATTCTGTTGTGCAGCCTGGTTCAAGGAAGATCAATGGAAAATACATCCAATCCCATCTTCTCTCTAGATTACAAGGTAATATACTTTCTCTTGTAGATTAGCCGTACTTACGATTGTTTGAGAGGGAATTACTTTTTAATTCTTTGCGCTTGTTGAGAAAAGCTAAACTATTCTCCTTATTTTTAATATGAAATATTTATATTCTTTGATGGAGATGCAAATAGATTAGATAGTCTAATGAATCCCCTGTGACATTTTTTTTACCATATAAAAGCACCAGGAAATATTTGGAGTCCATTTAGTAAGATTATTTTATTCTGGCCATTGGGAACACTCCCTCTGCATGTTTTGGAGCTTGCATCGGCCATCTTCCCATTTTAAAACCAACTCCAAAAATTGGAACAATATAATAATAATAAATATTGCAGATTCCTGTTGTAAATAATTTATACTATGTGATAATTCAGGCACAATAACACCCGCATATATTCAAGATGGAATAAAGATGAAATAATATTGACCATAGATGAAGTGGTTGAAGATTTTATTGCCTTGAAATTGCTAGTGTTGCAAGAGCGCAAGTGATCTAGGAAATAGAGTGCAGTGCAAATATGTTGCAAAGAGTTGACAATGAGATTCGTGTTAGAGATGCATGAATAAACTTTTTTCTAGTTCAAGAAAATTTCTAATAATGTGTGAATTGGATGCAAAATTTGTTCAAACTCATAAAACTACTAGTCCCAAATTATTGAAGGAATATGTTTTTTAAGATACATAAGGAGCATTAAACTTGCTTCATACAATATATAAAATTACTTGTTTTCTATTTTAGTGGTTGAAACCTACATAATTGAACTTAATAAAAAAGAAAAGTAGAATAACAATCATAAATAATCATGTGAAGGCAATTATATTTAATTTTTGTGTCATCGTCAGTTTAACTATGTTGTATGTCCTTATGTATAATAGGCCTACACTCTTCTATAGATATGTAGGATTTTTGTTTGGTCAGAGTAACTATACTTCTTAACATAATGTGGTGGTGGGGGTTAGTAGCTTGGTTGTTGAGATGAAGGATGGTAGTATGTTGATGGTCCTACAAAAAAGATGAATATTAATGAAATGATGTGATATATGTGATAGTGGGTGAAATGCATAAGATGCATTTTGTGTGATGAATATGAAGAGATTATAAACATGATATGTATGTGTAGGTAGTGTGCATTTAGTGCACAAAAATGTAATGAAGATTCATAACAAACCCTTTATCCTTCTACACATCTCGCCACACTCCAAATCAACTCTATGATAAATAATAATTGGGGTAAACTTCAAAATAGTTTCCCAACTATTTGTATATGACTAATTTAGCCCGAGAGTATCGCATTGCTCCAATTTAGTATGTTGACTATAGAAAATTGATCCAAAGTTATCATTGTGGGACTAAATTGAGATCAATTCTCTATAGTTGAGGGATTAAATTGGATCAATTTTATATCATAATTACAACATGAGCAACCATTTTGTATTAATTGTGTATTGTCGAGGGATTTAATTGGAGTAGTTTGATATTTTGGGATTAAATTGGATACATATGAACACTGAGAATTATTTTGAAAATGTTCTGAATAAAAATTTTCTCAGACATTAAAAAAGGTGTAAAAAAAGTTGGTTAACATACCCTAAACCCTACCTTAAACAAAATAAAGCATAATAGAAACCTTGTACTTCTACACAATAACATTAATGCCACATTAATTTCTTGAAGATAGAAATCATGTTTCAAAAAAATAATAGATCCTGATTTCCATAATTTCTATCATTACTCAACAAAAAAATCCTTCTTATTACCATCTATGAGGTTATGACCTCAAGTTCCAAAGTGCTGGTGGCTTTGCTTGCAGAAGAGAATCAATGAAAGGGAGATGCGGCAAATGACTGCCTGAAGTAGGAGAGGAAGGTTGATCCAAGTTGATGAGAGTGAATAAGGTTTGTGGGATTAGTCAACGAGCAACAGTGAAAATGTTAAGTTTCATTTGAAAGTTGATAGCATGCCTTAGGTGAGAGGCAAAGGAGAAGAGATCGCAAAAATTACTGGTTTGGGGCTTTGGGCCAGGCTATGGAATTTTCTTTAATTTATGGCTGAATTATCTACCAATACTCAGATTTATCGACTATAAATTTTCCTATAGCACATGGTGAGTGGTGTAAGATGTGTGTAGAAAAATGCTTCCATCCTTCTGAAAGAATAAAATTCTAGCATGCACACACGCTCTTCTATATATAATCATTTAAACTCTAATTGATTAAATTTAAATGAATTATTATATTAGAGATTTAATTTATCATTTATATACAAACAAGACAATTATACTTTGAATATAGTTTTTTATATGAAATTTTAATAATAAATAAATAGTTATAACTTAACACAAAAATTATTGAAACTATTTAAACCACCCAAAGCGAAAATTGAACATTGAGAGCTAATTTGAAATTGAGTATGGAAATCTTAGTTTGCATAGTAATGAATCGACTTATTAAACCCTCTTTCTCTAAAACTTGTTATCGATTGGAACATTTGATTGAAAAAAAAAGTATTAATTAGTGGTGCCTCAGGAATTTTGCATGATATGAGGATACTAAGAAGGCTTAAAAATAATTTTTTTTTAAATTGTATTTAGGCAGTGATGTTATATTAATCTGAATATTGGGTTGTAAAAAAGTTGTCAATATCTAAATTGAGTGTGTAAAAAATGAAATGCTATGATGGATGTGTGGCAAAAATTAGAATGGATAAATTAAGGAATGATTATAATAGAGAAATTTTGGAGTGACATCTATTAAGGATAAGTTGATTAAATGGACTTTGTGTTTTGTATGTATAAAACTAAGGGTAGAAAGTCACCAATTTGTCAAGTTGATAAAATTAATATTAGAATATTTGAAAGGAAAAAGATAAAGTTACATAAATAGAAATTGTTCAAAAGGATTTACTAATAGGAATAAATGGAAAGGAGGATTCATAATGCAAATCCCAAATACTTGGGATAAGACTATTGTTGATGATGATCAATTAGTAATAGATATTCTCGTTATTTGAAACTGGGGCTATCTGTTATTCTTTTTCTTGTTCACTTCTAATTGTGCTTCATTTTCCTCGTAGCTGTTCACGAAAGGTTGAAGGAGAAAATAAAGGATGCCAACTCACTAAAATTTGAAGAAGTTACCTTGGTTTGGATTGGAATGGCTGAGGTATATTGCATACTTTTGGACTGAAACTTTGAAATGCAAAAGCAAAGCTTGGTCCAAGTGAATTGCATAAGCTTTTGCAAGATATGGAGTTTTCATTACAATATATCTTCTATCTCCTTTTATTTTAAATATTACAGAGTGTGCAAGTAATGGGTTCATTTGATGGTTGGAGTCAAGGAGAGGAAATGTCACCAGAGTATAGTGGCAATTATTCCAGATTTTCTGCTACTCTTAAACTTAGACCTGGAAGGTGTGCAGTTCTCCAGTATTCAAACTCTTTTTTTGCATTTGATATGGATCGATCTTAAATTCTTGTGTTTTAAACTGTAGGTATGAAGTCAAATTCTTGGTTGATGGAGAATGGCTTCTATCACCAGAATTGCCTACTGTAGGAGAGGGAATGTTAAAAAACAACCTCTTGATTGTAGAGTAGCTTCAATGGTAAATTCTTTTTTCCACAAAGGTATTAACTACACTACCCTTGTCTGTAATCGTAATTACAAAGTCCTCAGTCATGTCCAGTAACCAAATTATGAGAAATTTTTTATCAGAACTTTAAACTCTAATTACATTTGTATGGTTGTGAGCATGACATTCCTCGAGCAAAATTTGAGCGAATTGAGCCTAAGCTATAGTCTAGCTTAAGTTTATATCAATTGAAATTGAAAGTATCTCCATCAACTATAATTTTTTATTCTTCCTTTCCACTAAATGAATGATGAATATTGATATTTATTTTTAATGGCAAAATTGGTAAAGATTTCCCATTGGCTTAGTTGTAAAAAAAGTTTTATGGTTTTATCTCTATGGGAGGTTGCGAATGCTAAGCATTTCCCAAATTAAAGGTGAAAATTGATTTATCTTTAGTCAATTAATACCCTTTTGAGATCATGATTATGACCTTGCGCGATGGATAGAAGTACAATTGGGGAGTTTTTGGAGAATTTGAAACTTATTTAAAAAAAATTTGTTTTTTAATGAAATTTCTCACATTTGTAGGAAGCTTTGAGAAGGATACTCATCAATTAGGTTGCCTTAAATGCATAGAAAATGATGGATGGAAGGATTTACCCACTTGTAACTATTCCCATGATGTTAACATGAATGTCATTTTGAAGCGATTGTCCCCTAGTCCTAATTTGCTTCTCATAGAGTTAATGCTATAATGGATGCATGATGGGAATTTTCCAAGTACAACTATACCTAGGACATTGTTCATTAAATTTTGCAATCATGGTTGGCCCTAGTCCCAACTATACCTAGGACATTGTTCATTAAATTTTGCAATCATGGTTGGCCCTAGTCCTTCCTAACTTGCTCCTTTCAAAACTAATGAACTTATAGATAGCAAAGGGATTGTTGTGCTATAATTGTACATGGGATGTTGGTATGAACAACCTTTAGAGGCTATAAAGGGTTATTCTTCTGCGAAGAATTAGTTCCTATAGATAATGTCAAACTATTGTATGATGCCAATAGAGAGCAAATGTTTAATATCTTAACTTTATAAAAAGATCCAGCATACACAAACATATATAAAAGAGAGTTACATGAGAAGGCATAGTTTTTATTTGAAAAATATAAATAAAAAAACAACAGGATTAGATCCAACTGAATAATTGAATTAGCATTTATCATCAATTATTGATAATGCTTTGCTCCATAATTGGTGAAGGTTTGACATAATATAATAGATATAAAATATAGAGAATGGATTCTCTGGCAAAAGTTGGAAAAGCACTATGGGATAATAATTATCTTTAAGAGATTGTTTGTTATCCAATTAGTCATTCTCTTCTGCGGATGGGAGACTAGAGATAAAAAATTTTAGTATAAATTTTGGTGCTAATATTGAGAGTCAAATTTGATATAGACAACATGCATCGGCCTCATAAGCGATGAGGTGCATTGATACTATTAGTGGTGATGGGTAATCAAGTTAATGAACACTAATGTAGTCAAACAACGATGATTAGGAGACTATATTAGGGTGATAGTGGTTCAAAGATTGTAGCTGAGTTTTGGTGGTTAGGAAATTGTAGTTGGGCTTTAGTAGTTAAAGGGTCATTGTTTAATAGCACGTACATTGACCCAGTGAAATTAATTTTTTTAGAAGTCATATTGCATTGTAAATTCATCAAGTAATGTATATTTACACTTATGTTCAGAGTTAAGTTATCTTAAATATGAAGCTTTTGATATTAATATTCAAGTTCAAGTAACATCTAAATCATTTTCAAGTTTATGTTTCTGATGCAATTGTTCAAGTTCAAGAAATGTTCAAGTTCAGAAATATTTTGAGATAATGCATTTGATATACATGTTCGAATCGAAGTAATTTATATGCTACTTTTTTGATAAAGTTAAATTTACAAGTGAAGCTTATTGTAATGTTTTATGACAGTGAAGTCATTTTCTTACACTCATAAATATTACCTAATGCACATTGTTAAACCTTAAATGTTACCTAATGCACATTGTTAAACCTTTAATTCTTTTGTGTACTTAGAAAAATACAAATTTGGACTAATTTCACTCATAGAAGTTGGGGTAGCCTATTGAGCAAAATATGCTCATTATTTATATTTATATGATATTTCAGGAAAAAAAGGAAAGAAAAAGTATAAGCTGAGTAGATTAGTAAAGTCAGGATCTAATTGAGGATTGATAATGTTATTATTTATGTTTTAACTAGTAGAAAATGTTTTCTATTACTTTATATAATTCTTTTGGATGATGCATGAAATTAAATGTGAATGGATGTTTATATGTTCTCCTTATATTTTGAATGGTTAGTTGTTTTGATTTATGCAAATTTCGACGATGGGACAAATAGGATTATGTACACTTTTGTCATTAGATTCTAGGGCATCACAATTATAGTCAAAGGCGATAGTCATATGGTAGAGGCTTAAATGTGGTGTTCTAATGGCATTGTTTCGATAGCGGTGGATGGATGAAGGCGGTCCAGTGATGGTGGTCATATAGTGGTGAACGAATGAGTGGTCCGTTGGTGATGGTTAGATGATGATGACTGACGACGTTGGACAAATTGTGATGGTTTGATAGTGGTTGGGTGGAGTTTTAGGAATCCTCTTAGCTCTTTCACCCTTTTTTCTCTAGGAAGCCCCTTTATATAGATAGTTGTGGTATATTTATAATTTTTTGTTTATAATGATATTTTGGTAAATTGATAGGAAATACTTGAGTTCGCAAGTAACCTAACCAAAATCGGCGAATAGCAGCCAAATGGCTGTCCACAGCAGGAAAACAGCAGAAATTTGCTGTTTACAGCAGAAAAACAGCACTTGTCAGGGAAAATCTGAGAGAAAACTCAAAGGAAAGCTTGTATTTCACTAGAAGAAGAAGAAAACAACAAAGATACAATTGATCCTCAATTCGAGAGGAGGATCGGTCTCTCCCAAATCTCTAGACGCTGCTAGAGCCCAAAGAAAACCTAAATATAAGAGATCTCAAATTTTAGCCCAATTCAAGATGATTAAACCCTAGGAAAATATACTATTTAATGCATACAATTCAAAAGGAATTTCCTAAACAGTCCCTACATTCAAATTCCCTCCTAATCTTCCTCAAAATTTCTTCCTAAAACGCTCCCACAAGAAGCGCGGCTCGCGCGGCCTCCGCCCAGGCGGAGAAGTTCCGCTGCACGCGTCTGGGCCGGTCTCGCGTGGACCGGCTGGACCGGTCCCCTAGACCGGTCTAACATAAATCTAGTCAAAATCTCAAAACATTTTATAGGATAGCTTATATTGATCACTCAATTATAGATCATTCTTCTGACATGCAAGTACATTAATGATGTTGGAATTTAGTGATCTTAGGCTCGTTGAATTCATCTTATCGAGATGCTTGATTTGATTATAAGCATGCTAAGATTTGGAGAACATTTGGCTACCCCATTAATGTCCCAAAGTTCACAAGTATGCTTTAAGTGTTTGATTTACATTCAATTCGAGTCAAATCATATCGCCTTATTATCAATGGATTTTTCTTTTCATGTTCATTTTAGCCATAAGTTTGCTGAAATTAGAGTTTGTCTGGTGCTTAAATTAATTTTGGAATATTTCAATTTAAGTACTGCCTCAGGATTCGTAGTAGATTAAAAAAAAAAGTTTTTTTTATGACATTTCAACTATAATTAAAAATATTATTCATGCTTATCAATAATAAATAATAGAAATGATAGCTGTCACTCAATTTATGATTCAAGGATTCTACTTTCTCCGGACCTAGGTGGCTGATGTGAACCCAAGTCTTTGTTAGTGCAATGAAAATGTGTGAATTCTTAATCTGCATAGCCTCATTTAATGGACCAATTCAGGGACTCACATTGTTTGACTTAGGTTTTGTTTGGGACGGTTTTCTTACTGTTTTCTGAAGTAGTTTTTTAGTTTAAGAAATTTTTGTATTAAAAATTTGCTTTTGAAAGCAGTTAGAAAGCCGTTCCAAACAAAGCCTTAATCAATCTGGCATATTCAAACTCAATATGATGTTTTTTTGAGACATTTAATTAATTAAGATAAATTCACACACACATCACATATGCATGACTCGTACATAAGACCTCTTAATTGATAGTCAAAGCTCTCAACTAACAGATCAAAGTGAGCTACGTAAACTCAATATGATGTTATTTTGGGATTGTTTTGAGCTTATTTCATTGCTGATTAGGATCCGAGTAGAATCAAACACCAAATCTGTTATTTTAAATGGCTTTGAGATGTGTGCTTTATATTGTATTTTATACATAATTAATAATTACATAACAATTTTTATTCTCCAATAATAATATTTTTAAATTTTTTAAATACTTTTCCCAATAAATTTATGTTAAATAAGATGAAATTTGTTTTGGGTGTTGAGGCTCTTGCAATCAGATATCATGGACGACCAGTAAAGATCTCACTGGACTGCTGGGAAAACAATTTATATAAGAATATTTTATGGGTAAGATTCATCGATTTTAAATTTATGCTGAGATTAATGCTATATATAATATTGAAGATTTACATTAATCTAAATATAAAGTTTTATTTGAGATAATTTTTTTTTTATTTTATTTTTTAAATCTCAACAAAAAATTTTATTTGGCCACCATTTTTAACAAATTTTATATAAAAAGGATGCTTTCTATAGCAGCCATAAAAAAATTTAATTTTTTTATAGCATCTTTACGATCATCATTATAAAAAGCTGAAATCATCCCAAATTGTGTCTAAATTTAACAAATATGAATTTGATCTTGCACAATTTTCATAAGCAATATATATATGCCACATCACCCGATATACAATGGTACTCAGAATCAGTACACAACAAAAAAATGACGTGACACGTCATGATTCTTCTCCGGATGACGTCTCATGACTGCACAGAATAATTCACTAAAGACATCAGCATACTTTGAAGGGTGACTACGGAATTAATGTTCATAGTCATACCGCTTTATTTTAGATCGCAAGCAAATAGGACCTTATTAAAAGGCATCTATCAAAGCAATTAATAACTTTAAATATATGTTGAATTTATTAAAAAACTATATTAATTATAACTAACAAAAAGAAAATCAATCTAAACTTACCAATAAGAAATATAAACATGGGCATTTTATATAGTGTCTCATTTAAAATAATAAATAAATAAATAATGTGATGATACATA